TTCTGGTCCTGGGGTTGAGGTGAATCCACAATAGAGGATCAGAGTTTTACATAGGCATATATATAGGGGAATCTGCTGAAAGAGAACTGTAAAGCCAAGTAGTGACTATGTTAAGAGTTGTGGCCCATGGGCTTTTTGTCTTTCACTCTTGTAGAGAGTACGCAAAAAATTCTTTGCACTTTATATTGTCACTTCTTCCTTAGAAAATATAGAAATCACATGAAATCTTAAGTGTATTACTGAATCAACTTACCTGTTTTTCAAGCAAAGTAGATGAGTTTTACAGATAAGTGTTTAAAGAGCCAAGGAAGGAAGTCTGCAAATATATTTTACTTAGAGAAAAATACGCATTTTGTTTAATATCACATGACTTTTGCACAACAACTCTATCGACGGCCACGGAAGGGTAGGTTATTTAATGACTTGTCTAACGTGGAAAAAATATACAGAAACAATCTTAATTATATATGGTTTATATATATTGATATTTTGAATTTATTTAATTTGCAGATACAGTTGTGAAAAAATGTATGCTACACATAGATTATATGCATCCTTTTGATCGACCAGGATTTCACTTGACGTAAGATCCACCTCACATGTTGGCCTGGGAAACTGAGAGTTTTTTGTTCGAGATGGAGGGTTAGCTGTGAAAAGGTTTGTTATTATACAATTAATTACCCCTTACGAGGTCAACATGGTGAAATAAGGACCCGAGACCTGACCTGACCTGCGCGGCCTCGGTCAGGTCAGGTCAGCGAGTGGGCCAGGTTTCGGGTTCTTATTTCACCATACTGAATTCATAAGGGGTAACAATTGTTTTATTATACCGATATAAGTTAATTAAGACAATTTTTGTAGGCTTAATTACTAAAATAATCAATTGTGTATTAGACCTACGAACTGTTATTATCAGTGTTTCATCGGGATCGGGATTCGCTAGTGAAGTTGTTTACTTTTCGCCTGCAAGTCTTATAAGTTTTTGCACCGCCGATTTATTAAAACACTCTGTGATTGTCAGTAACATGCATTTTTATAAATTCACAAATACTATTCCCGAGTACAATGACAATCAGGTGCATACTTTTACTGTACAAAAGAGCCAAGTCTGCATTCGTTGAATTTGACATTCATTGTAACGAAAGTTTCAATGAAAACGATAAATTTTTTGACGCATCAAAAGGACAATCGTATTCCGTATCATAAAAAGACTATGCATATTTTTATAACGGCATTTTTTTGTAATGAACAGTCATTACGTTATGCATTTATTTTTAAATTTGAATGGAATTTAGATTAACAGGTCATTTTTAGCGGTCATTATTTATAATGACCGGGTCATTATACCCCACGTGCAATGATTCCTAGGTCATTATTGCTGTAAATAGTACTTTTTGGAGTCATTATTGAGTGTAAAAGCCTTCTAACAAGCCAATCAAATTTGAGTATTCTTAATAGAGGTATAATAAAACAATTTCTTAAACTTTAAAAATTTATAAATTTAATGTTCAATGTTTAGCTATAGTGAAGTTATATTTCAGTTTTTTTTACAATGTTATGTATGTGTTTATCTGAGCACACATTAGTCAGTCAGGGTTCTTTTTAAGGGATATATAATTTTCCTTGTACTCTGTCTGAGTTAAATGATTTGATAATAATTTTCCTATTACTCTTCCTCAGTATAATTACTCTGTATATAGTTTGGAGTCAATATATATCAGAGTTTAACTGGGTGCTACAGTATGTTTAAAAGACTAAATGTGACTGGGTAACCCGTCACCGCGTATTCTTGGTATAAGGGTTCCTATTAATATAGTGAATCAGGCGCCTCGATCTACTTCCTGACCCCAAAACTAATTCCACAAATACCACTACTGGTGAGCTTATTCAAATTCCTACCCTAGCATTACTTCGTCAACTATTATGTCTACTTTTTGCCTTCTAACCGCACTCTGCAGATTTCACAGCAATTCTGCCTCAGCTGCCAGCTGCACTGACTTATACACCCTTTGGGCAGTTCATTTCCAAGGGATATCAGGTTATTCCATTTTCATGGGTGTGTTCTATTACGTTTCACTTATTAGAAATTTTATTTTAATAACTGGGACCTAAGGGTGTCCTTGTACAACATAAAATTTATTTATGTCTAACCTACAACTAAGTCACAAAATAAGAATCTTGACAGAACTTGAAATAATTCCACAGTCTATAGACTTTGCTTGCTGACATTGGCTGGTACGAGGAAAGAAGAATTCAACATGTCTATAATGTTTTGTACTTCTTAACAGAATTTTGATTTCAAGAAGGTATTTCAAAACTATTCATTACATTTCAATTTTTATAACATATTTGAATTAAAAAATGCAAATTATACAATGTTCAATTAAAAAAAATGCTCACCAAGTCATAAGGAAAAAAAATTTATAGGGGAATTTTTCTTGTTGTGGAAGGATATTAAGAAGAATATTCTTCAAATCTACACATTTGTTACATGTACACTTAACATCGTGGAACTTTAATTTAGACCCACATATTTTAACTCAGAAAATATGTTCCGTTATTATCTGCTAGGAATTGTATATTTTTAAAACAAATTCTACACATTCACTCAACAGACTTTGCCAAAAAATAAAAATGTATAAGAGAAGTCTAGATAAAAGGATGACCGCACTTAAGGACATGCAAAATTTGCGACAAAATAAACTTTCAAAACAAGCATTTTTCTTTTCCTTGCAAGAATGGTCAACATCCAGTCTACAACTTTATGTAATTACGTTTAATAAGTGTGTATTTACGAAGTTCGAATCTGGGGCCAGGATCATGAAACATCTTAAGCTTAAGTCAAAATCTTTATGTTCTGTTTAGTTTTTGTAAAAGTCAATCCGAACAAAATTAAAATATTTTTTTAATATTGCTTTACAAAAGTGTTGTTGTCTGCAAATTTAGAGATAAATTCAATAATTAGTAAACATTTTACAGGTGTTTGAAAATTTGACTTAAGTCTAAGTTTGTTTCACGATCCTTGGACCTGGTTTCAAAGGCAGGGGTCATCAGAATTTCTTGAATCTCCGTTCGATAATGAGGACGCCCACTTTTTTACTGACTTTACACATAGTCAGCGCATGTTTGTCTATTGTTCTACGTTCAACAGTAGTTCTATATTTGCAGAAAAAATAATATGTCAAAAGGAGATTAATAGACAAACATGCGCTCATGGTTAAAAAGAGAAAAAAACTGCTTCTTCTTATATTCGTTCTCTGTGTTGTAACCAAGGATTGTAACATGTTGAATATTATAATTCACCACGTGATTTCTTGCCTCAGGTAACTTTGTGAATACTTAATTCCGTCAGTTGACTTGTAAGTTAGCATGTTTTGTGCTAACTAGGACATTGTGTTCGAACCCTTTAAGTCATCTGGCATTGATATTAAATCTGCTTTAATTACATATTGTTAATTTCGTTTTGAAACCTTTATCAAAAGTGTATTTGTGCCGTACAGAATGGAGAGGGAGATTGGAAAGAGTTATCACGTTCTTTTTTTTTCAAATATGTCATTGTTATTATCAATTGTAATTTTAGACCCATTCTTACAATGTTAGCTCCACCCCTCTTGCATATCTAATGTTCAATCAAGGGCAGGTAAGTGGAAAATCACTATATTTCGAATGCAGTAAGGGCAAAAAACATTGAATCATTTTATTGTATCACAGTCTTAAATCATTATAAGATTTAAATTTGGTTCCAAATTGACAGGATTCTTTCATAAGCATACAAAAGTGAAATAAAGTTTAGATGTAAAAGCAACAGAGGCAACCGAAAAAGACCCCCAAAACAGGCGTTAAGTGCAGTCATCCTTTACATTGTTTTGTTGCCTTTTTTAAATCTTTAATACCCCGATTATGACATTTTTTAGTGCAATAAGGTCAAGCAATAATTTATGCATATTAATTTGTATGATATGTTCAATGATACATATCTCAGACTATTTTACGTAAAATAAGATTATATTTATTGCCATAATTACATAAATATGATAATGATTAATCAAAACAATTTAAGTGCAAAAAGGTCAAAAAGGTCAAATTCAATGCCCCGTTGCACAGTACGATGCACACTGGCCCTCGATTTTCTTTACGATTTTGAATCATGCAATAGGAAAACCTATCTAAAATATACTTCTCAAAAATCCTTGATATAACTAATTTCATGAGTGACATACCTTAAGTCTGTCTTGGGGCCTAGATTCGATGGGACATGACCTTGTTTCCATTAAATTATTACAGAAATAAAGTGGACTAACGCTCATAATTAACAATTTCTCTTACTTTTTCTTTCATAGATATAAGGATGGCTTCATTAAATTTAAGACAAGGACAACATTACCTAGAATGTGATATTTGTAAAAGTCCTATCATCTTCACGTGCAAAAATGTGTCGTTAAATTATGCAGCGTATGTGTAGGACCTCAAATGCTTATCTATTCCGAAAATGGTCATGATGTTACAAAATACAATAAACAAAGCAAACTCGAAGGTAGAGAATGCCTGAACCACCCCCAGCAACACTGTAGCGCCTTCTGCAATAATTCTGATATTCCTATCTGTGTTTTATGTGTATTAAACAAGCACAAGACACATGATATTATCGAATTATCCGAGAAAGTCGACACAGTATCCGATTTCATCACGAAAGAAAATAAGCGACTACAGTCGATGCAATCAGAATTGGAAAGAATTTTGGAACATATTTGTAAAAGATCGGCAGGACTTCGACGTGTTTACAAACAGAAAAAAGATAAGATTTCATTTCATGCCAAAACTGGCATAAGGAGATTGATAAAGCAGAGAAGGCATTGCAGAAGGACCTTGATGAATTGCAAGAAAAGCATGCAGGTGTATTACTGAAGCAGAAAAAAGAATTTGAAGAAATACTAAAGAAATTGAAAAATCTTAAACAATCAGTCGTTAGCTTAGTAAAGTCCAAAGATGTCTCTGGTTTAATGGAACTTAAGCTTGATATTGAGAATCAACAGCTTCCCAGCTTTATAGAAGAAACACGGCCGGCATTCTTCCAGCCTTGCAAGTTTAATGAAAGTTATTCAACATCGTACTTCGGTTACATAGAAACACTAGAATCGTGCAAACTGACAATTGACGATCTAACACAACAAGATCAAATCTCTTCACCACTACAAGCTCTAGATATACCTAAGTACTGTCTACCTTTGATACAGCGTTTCCTGCCAACAAAGAAAACAACAACTGGCTGTATGACATAGTTCCCCTTGGTCATGACAGAGTTTGGGCAGGAGGAAACAGTAATGAGCTCAATCTTTTTGATCTCAAGGGCAGTCTCCACGACACTGTCACTATCACGTGTTTCGGTATGTACCTGACCCTTCATGGTGGACACGTGGTGTACTCTGATACAAATGATAAGACCATAAAGAAGATTATAGACGGTAAGGCGAATACGTTATTCTGTACCGGGGAGTGGGAACCTTACACCTGTACCGCGGCACAGGATTTCCTGGTCTGTCTCCGGACGACAGATCAAACAGAGTCCAAGGTCATAAGGTACAGAAGTTCCGGTGACGTGCTGCAGGAAATCCAGTACGACTCCCAGTACCAGCCTCTGTTTAAGTATACTGTTTACGTGGTGGAGAATGGTAACAGCGACATTTGTGTAGCTGACTACGATAAAAAAGCCGTCACGGTCGTTGACAAGTTTGGAATATTCAGGTTCTCCTATATAGGGAACAAAACATGCAAGGAAATTTCATACCTACCTCCCTTACTACAGACAGCTTGCATCACATCATCATCACTGACTATTTTAACGACAAGATTCACATGCTGGACAGGGATGGTCGATTCCTGAGGTACATCATTCCTTATCAGGGAATACGGGATCCGCGCGCCGTGTGTGTCGTAAGGGAGGGGGAGTTGATGGTGGGGGAAAGCATAACAGGAATGATCGAGAGAATAAAGTACTTACAATAAGGAGGAAGTCTGATGACAATAAATCTACTTGAAGTGTGATACGAGTTCTATATTCCATTACTAGTACCTTAAAGCTGAACATGATTCGTAAAAGGAAGAGAGTTACCTTTGCCTGCCATATTAGATTTCTCAAGACCGTCGATCTCAAGCCACTATATAAGCCTCCGCTTTGTACAAAGTTCAATGTATTTTGCTTCACAAACTAAACCAGAAAGGATTTCTCCTTCATTGTCATTGTATTATACTTGGGGGCGACAAAAATGACTTCTGTTTGATACTGCCAAAAAAGTTACCAAATATATTTGATATCAAATGCACAGGTCAATTTGAAAAAGGGAAATACAATGTAAACACAAATGCACGTTCCATTAAATAGAATGTAAACAAAGAGGACAATGTAAAAGACATACATGTACTACTCGTAGCACAAGGTAAAAGCAATCAAGTGTAACAAATTCAAAGGTTTAATATACCCCAGTGCTGACATAATGATAGGAAAATTAAAGTGGCGTATGCCTATTTACGAGTCGTGTTCAGCTTTAATGAATTGAAAATTACAGATATCGACGTAGCAGTTATCTAAACATTCTGATTTGGTCTTTCCACCTTTCTTTGGAAAAAACCTATTGATATTCTTCTTTTTTATTATTATTAGGTCTTTCCACGTTTCTGTGGAAAGACCTATTCAAATGTTTATATTTATTACAGAAAGGTGGAAAGACCTACTACTAAGTATTGGTTTTCTTCTCTTTTCAGGTCTTTCCATAGAACCTTTGGTTTTCTTCTGTTTTTTACTAACCTTTCTGTGGAAAGACCTATTGAATTTTTTCTGTTTATTATTATTTATCCTCCACTGAAATTTTGTTTTGGGGATTATCGAAATTTTTTTTTGGCTTTCTAAAGGTCATTAAAAATTATGAAATTATGAAGAGTTTTGACGCATTGTCTATGAACTTTGACCCCCTTTCAGAGTTCTTGCCCCTTGCACGAAAAACCTTGTTATTGCTACTCCTTCGAATCCGTAGAAGGTAGAGAAACAAAACCTTCACCGATATCTTCAAGTACTTGAGAGAACTTTTTAATCTATTCATTGCGAAATGATTCGTCGAACCCTTTAATGAGTTATTGCCCTTAAAAGTTATTGTTAAAAAAAATTCAAACGATTAATCATAAAGACATGGAACCAACTGCATTGCAGTCTTCATATTCTGACCTTTAATTTTGTTCAAGGTCACTCTTAATTTAAGAAATTATGCTCTTTTTTTTATCTCTTTTGTCTTACAACATATAATTTATGCCAATTGCACGTATGATATGTCCATTTTAAACTAATTTCAAAATTCTCTTCTCTCCTAAACCTGACCTGTTTAAAAGTTATTGCCTCTTGTGCGAAAAAAGTTGCTATTGATTCTCCTATGAAACCGTAATCGTACTCTTAGAGTTACAAAATCTTCATAAGTATGTTTAACTGTGTAGACTTTTTATATATTGATTGATTGTATGTTGTTTTACGTCCCATTCGAGAATTTTTCACTCATATAGAGACGTCACCATATACCAGTGAAGGGCTTCAAATTTTGATCTTTACTCGGCACTCAGGGCCATTGAGCAGTGAGGGATCTTTATCGTGCCAACGCCTACCGTGACACGGGGCCTCGGTTTCTAAGGTCTCATCCGAAGGACCCTGCAACATCACAGGTGGGATCAGGTACCATGGAGGAGTGAGCATCCCCTGCCGACCGGTCACACCCGCCGTGTGCTCTTTGTCATGATCGGGAAATAACAGAAAAATCTGTCAACAATTCAGTGTGTAAATAATGGCCTAACAATTAGTATAAAAAAGTCAGTCAGCATTTGACTTAATGATAGATTGTATTTGCTGACAAGGTCATTGTATCGACCATAGAACTTACGGTCGTTAACTTTTGAACATTTTCAGCTTCTTCTCTTGAAACGTTAAACCAGTTTCAAACAATTTTGGCAAACAGCATCAGTGGGTGGAGGGGTACAGAAATTGTGAACTTCATGGTCCCTGCCCCCTGGAGACTGAGGGGTAGGGCTAAAACCATCAAAATTAGTGCCATCTTTAAAGATCTTCTTCTTTACTCCTGGACGTCAAGCAGTCAAACTGTTGGCATGATTGTAATAAGCAATAAGCCCTTTACCAAAATTGTGAAATTCACGGTCCCAGGAGTAGGGGTTCTGGAGTTAGGGTGGGGTTCAAATGATCATATAATGAAAATGCATAAATTCTTTAAAAATCTTCTTCTATTCCACCGTATACAAAGCAGATAAACTGGGTGTATGGTTATGATGATCAAGAGTGCCTCTTCTAAAATTGTGAAATTTCTGGCCCCAGGGTGAGGGGTTCTGGTTTTAGGGTGGGGCTCTATTGATTATATAGTGAAAATGCATTATTTTTTTTGAAAATCTTCTCTGCTCCTGGGTATTATACAGACTAGCTATGTACATAGTTATGATGAGCAAGGGTGCCTCTTGCAAAATTGTGAATTTCATGACCCCTGGGTCAGGGGTCTGGTTTTAGGACGGAGCTCTATTGATTATACAGTGAAAATGCATTAATTCTTTGAAAATCTTTTTTCTCTGCTAGTGGGTATTATTTAAACAAACTAAGTGCATGGTTATGATACGAAAGGATGCCTCTTCCAGATTTGTGAAATTTATGGCCCCAAGGTCGGGGGTTCTGGTGAATGTGTGGACTCTACTGATTATACGGTGAAAAAGCATAATTTATTTGAAAATATTCTTTTCTGCTACTGGTTATAAAGCAAAGAAACTAAGTGTACAGTTATGCTGAGCAAGAGTGCTTCTTCCAGAATTGTTAGTTTCATGACCCCTGGGTCAGGTGTTCTGGTGTAAGGGTGCAGCTCTATTGATAATATAGTGAAAATGCATTAATTCCATGAAATAATGCTGTCTACTGCTTAGTGTTGAGTAGATACACAAAGTGTATAGTAATGATGAGCAAAATTGCTTCTTACAATTTATTAAAACTTGTGGTCCCAGGGTCAGGAGTTCTTGTGTTTTTCTTGGGGGGGGGGGTCTCTATTGATAATACAGTGAAAATGTGTTTATTATTTGATTATTCATTGCATAATTAGGTTGATGAGGATACGTCTTCCAGATTTGGAAATTTCATGACCCTGGGTCATTGGTTCTGGTGTTAGGGTATGGCTGCATGTGTTGAATCTGTAGTGAGAATGCATTATTTCTTTGAAAAGTTCTGCTCCTGGGCATATCGGAGGCAAACAGTGTAAAAGTTTTAATAAGCAAGGGTATTTTTACCAGACTTTTAAACATATGGACATTTGGTGAAATGTTTTGGTCCTGGCTAGGATTCTATTAATTTGTATTCTACTGAGAGAAGTTATTCCTCTTTACCATTCACTTTTGATAATTAATCACTGTAAATGATGTATTTGGAAGGTTAATAGAATAGGTGAATTATGCAAGAATTTTTATTGTATAATACAAAAAGTACTGTTATAGTTTTAATGATCAGGTAGAATTGTAAATAATAGATAAATGAAAATGAGACAAAAATAACATATCTTATTAATTGATCTTCAAAGACCAAGAGAGGCTAATATAAGAGGTTATGATACGGCGTTAAAAATAGTACAGGGGCAATCAATAGTTTGTTAATAGTCTCCATGGTGATAATCATAAATGGGGGATAGATTAGAACTTAATTTATGCTTTGTTACTTTATACTTGACTAATTATTTTCTTGATCCTGATCATCCTATTTCTCTTGCTTTTGTGCAACAAAGCTTCATCTATCAGTTTATTTTAAGGTTTTCCATCCCTAATAAGCCTAATTCTCTATCCTTAAATATCCATCATGTATATAATACTCTGATATTAATTAAAAGCATTTTACAGTAGAAAAGGATTTACTAAGAGAAAGTTTCAAAAATGTAATTATGCAAGCAGTACATCTGTAATTAATTCACAGAAATTTCATTGAAGTCTATGGAGACAAGCGATTTTTTTTTTAAAAATAAAAATTTAAATAATAAGAATATCAATAAATACTTCGGTGGAAAAATGCGTTAAATCATAAGAAATAGAATGACAATTGAAAACATTTTTTTACCGTATAGATTTTTTTTAAAATTGAGTTTTATTACTTAAAAAAGAGGGAGATAACTCTTCAACAAAGGTAAAGGTCATAAAATAGGACACGTTCCATATTTACATGCTAATAGTAATAAATGGGAATTATGTCTAAATATACTGAGTATTCCACCATCTGTTGTGCATTCAAATACATTGAATCTGAGGCTGTTAGGGATGGAATACGTTAAACTCTATGGATCTTATAAATTGTTGTATTATACTCAGGTGACCTTTAAGGCCTTGGGCCTTTTGTTATTGAAAAAGCAGCTGTCAATGATGTCTAAAAGCCTGGACTTTAATTTATCGTGGGGAATAGTTGTATACATAGTTGATAAGTGGTAAGTTTTTGTTTTTTTTTTTGTTATTGATTTTGGTAAAATTTTGTGATTTCAAATTTTCCAAAAGTTCCTTCGAATTTTTAAGTATCCACATCTGATTTACATCTCTTCTCAAATATATTGTTGCACAATACTCATGGAGTCTCCATTCACAGCTAGTAATATTTTAGTGAAGAGTAAAGAGAGAGGCTTGGTAGGACATTTACTGGACCAGCTACGCATCTTTGTTTGTAAGGATTTTCATGAAGTTAAGGAATCCAATATAAATATGGTATTTCAAATTAATTTTGGTTGTTGGGAATATTAAAAATATTCAAAAATGACACATGATTTTCAAGAATTTCCTCTTTAGAAAGGGAGCTATGGGTATAAGTAGGATTGCCACTTGTAGAATTAA